ATAATCAAGTATGTTTATTTTATTTTCTGTTAAGTTTTCATTGAATCTTTTGGAAATCTGCATTTTGATTGAAGTTTGGCGTAACTTCTTTTGCTGGAAATGAAATCTGCTGGAAAGAAGTCTAAAATCCCAATTATTGAATTTAAGTTTGATCTGTTTTTACCCATTTCAGTTAATGGATTGAGTTTATGGATCGGGTTAACCCAACCCGGGAATTATAGACCGAAATTAAAAGAATATAATCTTGATTAAAATAATAAATGCAAAGACAATCATTTGTTATAAAAATAGAAATTAGTTTGCTCTTAATTAATCTTAATGAAAATAATTAATTGATTTAATTGTATTTGATTAGAAATTTAGATTTATCTAATTATTTTAATTAAAGGTTAATTAATTTGATTAATTATTTAAGTAATTCTTAATCAATCAAGCTTATTTATGTTTAATTTGAGTGGGTACGGACTCACGTTAAAAAATAAAAAATCAAAAAATCAAAATCAATCATATTTATTATAATGTTAATTTGGTCCAAAACTCTTTTAAAATCGAGCAATTTAGTCTACAAATTTTATATCTTTTCAATTCAGTCCTCTATGTTTTGAATTTAATCAAATTGGTTCCTCCACTTAATTTTGTTGCAATTGTGCATTATATCCTTGATTTTGTCCAATTCAGTCCAAGTATTTTCAAGCTTTGCAATTTCATCCATTTACTTTTTGAACTCTACTTAATTAGAACTAAAAACAATAAAAAGTTGAATAAATCCCCAAATGTTCAAGTGTGCAATCTTGTTTCGCACGGAGGATTGTGAAATGCATATATACCCTTTATCACTCCTAACCATACTTGCAGACCTCGATTTCTGTGTAAACTATGTTTTAAGTAATTTGTCCCACCTTATAATTTAGACTAGTGGCAACTCTTTTTTTTTTTTTTTTGTTTTTTTCATTTTTCACACCTAATTTTTCATTCATTTTTCATTACATATATATTTTTTGAAATTTTAGAAGGTCTTCAATGATTGGCAACTCCATTGGGGATTGAACCCAAAATCTTTGGTTATTCATATTTTGGGCTCACAAGGGTCGAGCTAATACTTTAAGTTTGGGGATTTTTCAACTTTTGGTTTTCTTTCATGGTTGAGTCATTTGTTTGAGTCTTGCTTGTTTTTTCTTTGCATTTTTTCTTTGCTTGATGCTTTTACCTTTTTTCCCATTGGTTGTTTTGATTTAACTACATTGAGACATGCATCATACCTTTGCTCAAATGCTTATTCATCATATCTTCTTGTATGGTCATGCATCATTCTTTCACACATTTATACATCATGCATCATGCTTATTTGCTCATCTACTTGCTTATGCATGTACTTACTTTTTGCATTTGGCTTGGAAGTACTTAGTGAGTTTCTTCCCTCTTGTGCCTTTATCCTTATCTTGTTGTTTGTTGAGTGTTGGATGCTCTATGCATTTACCTTTTTGCATTGGCATTTGAGTACTAGGTGAATCTCTTCCTGTTGTGTAAGTAGGTTTGTTTGTTGATGCTATACATGTTGGATGATTCACATGCTTATTTTCTTATATGGTTTATCTGCTTACTATGGGATATTTTTGCTAGTTTAGCCTGTCTTGTGTAGGTTATTTGAGTGACATGCCCTTTCACACACTCACTTGCATCATGCATTAGGTTCGTGTTTGACGTGAATGTGACCTCTACGTCTGGAATCCTTAGTATGAATCTAGCTTGATAGAGCTATTCTTCCTACCTTGAGGAGTAAGGTCAATTCCCATTAGGTTGTTTCCATTTGTTGATAACACCTAATGATGTAATATTGTCCTATGCATTAGCATTTGGAAATATCTCCCATTGACTTTGAAAGGATAAATCACTACAAGGAAACAAGCTTTTTGTGATAGTAAAATTAATCACAAAAACTTATATTTTTAGTTACAAATATATTTTTAGTTACAAATTGTATTTGTCTCTAAAATTGAGTTAGTCACTGTCCCTTACAAATACTAAGTCACTAAAACTAATCATAACAAAAAATCATGATTTTAGTGATGGAAAAAATAGACACAATTATTAGTTTATTTGTAACGATTATGTATGTCACAATTAAGATTATTTGCGACAAAATAATTGAATAAAAATAGTGTTTTTTTTATAACATTTATATTCCATTACCAAAAACAAAATCTTTTAATGTGACAGTAAAAATCATCACAAATTTATTTGTGATAGAATTTTTAAGTTATTAATAATTTTATCTTGATTAAAAAATAATTCCCTAGAAATGAAATTTAAAAAATTTTCAATAAAAATTTTAATATAAAATTTATTATTATTGTTTTAAAATATATATTTAATTCAAATAATTTTAACTAATAATTATTATTATAATAATAAAATGTTTAGAGGCCAATAATAAAATTATTATTTAGGCCAAGCCCAACACTTTAGAACTTTAAAATTTTGATTAACATATTTTAAACCTTTCCTTATATAAGGTATTTGTAATTGTAAGCTATACTTTTTGTTTTTAAGCAATGTGGGATCTGGGGATTTTCTTATATAAACTATTGATAAGCTTTACTTTTTATTTTTAGGTGATGTGAGATTTTTTTTATTTTACAATTTTACTCATATACTAATAGAAGAATAAAATATCTATCAAATAAAAACAAAAAGAACTCATTCAAATAAAAATAAAATAATAATATATTATATACTTGTATCAAAATTATAGTTATCAATTTATTTTGAATAATAAAAATTGATTTTTATTAATATTTGGAGCACATGAGGTACTTCTAAACTCTAATGATCATATCAATTCCAAATATATATGTATAACACATGATTATTTCTAATTAATTACAATGACCATACATAAACAAACCATTCCACTTCCAAGTTCCCACCCTTCTCTCACCCTCTATTTGAGGTCAACCTCAAGTGTTGGCAAAAAAACTCCCCAACAATTATTGAACATAAATCCCTCACTACTTCAAACACTTTCTCTATAAGGTATAGTCGACTTGACAGTTGGAACAAATGATGGACATTTTTAATTCCATCACCACATATTTCATATTTTATCAAGTTGTAATTCTACAAAATCCCCCTCTTGAATTAATTATGGTCATTAATGATTGAGAAGGCCTAACGCCTTTTAGGAAACCATGTAGTGTACTTAAAGAGAAGCCACCCTTAGGACTTGTTAGCCTAGAAAGCCACCTAAAGCCACTTACGAGATTAGGATTCTTGTATCTAGATACACAAGAGGGCATTTTACATCTTACCTTACTCTCTGCACTTATAGGTGTTCATTAAGTCAACCATGTCAAGCATCATGACATCCATGACTTATATTCATTCCATACACTTTGCATTTTTATTTTCTATTCCATACATCATAAAAAGAATTTTTTTTTTTTTTACAATTATTTTTCACATGTCAACCATCCATCCCATCCATTTCATGTTCAATTGTTCGTTTCATATATCATGAACACATCATATGTTCATTACATTCCATTTTCCATCTAATGCATCACAAAATATGTTTTCATATTCATTTCATGTGCCATTCTTCATTTTCTATGTGTTTTACATTTCATTTTTCATCTCATATTTCACAAAAATTTGCATAAAAATGAAAATTTCATCTATGTTCATTCCATACTGCATTTTCCATCTCATATTCCATTTCAAGCATTACTATCTCCATCTCATATTTCTCATATTTCTTGCATTTCAAAAAAAATTGCATTAAAAAAATAATAATTTCATCCATTTATTTTACACTACATTTTTCATCTTACATGTCATTTCAAGCATGACTATTTCCATCTCATAGTTCAAAAGCAAATGCATAAAAACAAAAATTTTATCCACATTCATTTCACATTGCATTTTCCATCTCATATTTTATTTTGAGCATTACTATCTCCATTCTATATTTCTCATATGTCCCACATATTATAATAAAATTGCATAAAAATGAAAATGTCATCCATGTTTAGTTCTAGTGGCAGAGCTAAGAATTTTGGTAAGGGGGAGCTGGCTTTTTAAATCTTAAAATAATGCATTATAGTTTTGAAATTTTACTTTTATATCATAAATTAAAATAATACTCGATGAGTTTTCATGTTATAAAATTTATTTATAATAGAATCTATACTAAATGATTGAACTATTTCCTTTTTAATATAAATAATCAAAGAGTTTAAAAGAAATTTATCATCCATTTTGCTATGAAGTTCCATTTTCATAATTTTCATGACAAAAAATACTCTTTCTGTTGTTGCAATTCTAATCCACTAGCCATTTTCTTATTCATCTCAATCTCAAATTTGAATAGGAGATCTAAAATGTGAAACTTGTATTGAGGTAGCAATTGACAACATAAAACCTTTAAGCACTTAATTAGTTATCAAGATTCCTAAAATAGTATATCAGTACGTAGTAATGGAGCACTTAATTATCTGAGTTATCAATTATCTTCGATTCTCTAGTGGAAGAGATTTTGCACCTCCACAGGTGAGGTTGACAAATATGAAATACGACAACATTTTATCTCTTCACCCTACCACTTTCTACAATCAAACAATTTTTTATTCCTTTTTTACAAGTTAATTACACTTTATACTAGTTTATCTTCTTTTTATACTAATTTATCTTCCTATTGCTTTTCTCTATATGACTATATCCAAGGTTTTTCCTTTTATTGAGTTCATATATGTTCCCTTTATGGATTTATACTTTATTTTCAAATTTTTTTACTCATATCCAATTCTATTCCATATAACTTCAATACAACTTCAATATTATCATAATATTCAATTTTATTTGTAATCTCAAAAACTCTAAATCCTAAAAGGAAATTATACAATTTTTTGTGATAATAAAAAGTCAATAAGTTTCATTACTTAAATATTACTCCTTTCATACTAGAATAATAGATTTTTTGTTTTATCTTCAGATAAAGGATTTGAAAACAATTTCCATCTTTTCCTTAAAAACAATTGCTTATGCTGGGTCGCTAGCGGAGTCTCTTTTTTCTCTTTTTTCTATTTTTAAAGTTGTTAGGTTAAGGTTGAAGGAGATTGGCACTGGCACAATGGGGCTAGATATTGGAGAAATGGCATAGAAGACACCAAAACCTATTTTTCTTCTTCTTTTTTTTTTTTTCTTTTCTTTTTCTACATAATTCAGTTGTGGGCCTTGAGATGAGTGAGTTTTAAATAATAATAACTAGTTAAATTGTTAAAATGGATAATAGATTATATAGATTATATTTGAACTCCTAAAACAACCCATTATTATTGGATCTTTTTTTATTTTATGTATTTTAGCAATTAAAAATATAATATTTAAAATTTTAATAATAATATTTAATTAATTTTTTTTTTTTTCAAATCCCAGGGGAAGCCACCGCCCCCTAGTCTATATATAGCCCCGCCCCTGTCTAGAGTACTTGCATGATATGGCGAATCCTCCAATTATATATCATGATTTAAAATCCTCAAATGTCTTGTTAAATGAAGATATGAACCCAAAACTATCTTATTTTGGATTATCTAAGTTTTTTGGAGACAAAATGCCCATGCAATCAAGGGCGATGGAGACTTATGGATATTGTGCGCCTGAGTATTCAGGATTAGGTCAGCTCATCAGCAAAGCAGATGTCTATAGTTTTGGAGTTGTTTTGCTTGAGCTCATCACCGGACGAAGAGCTTCAGACACTACAAGACCAATTGATGAACAAAACCTAGTTACTTGGGTAAGAAGCAAGATTTTATTGTT